CTTCTTGTTACTACTAGCGTGGCACTTGTTACTACTAGCGTGGCACTATGAGGGAAAATCTTTGGAGCACAGCACTAATGTGTCCTTTGGAGCACTAGATGCACCTCTGAAGGTGGATTGGCCCATGTGAAGGTGGCCCATCCCAGTTGCAAGGTCAAATGCATGGTGCCTCAAGAGTGGTTGTTTGATCTACTGGAGAATTCTCACACAAGCCACCTGCTCAGGTGCTTGAAGTTGAGGACCTTGCCCAAAAAGAAAAGAATTCCAGAAGTTACAGGTGGATAATACCGTTCCCAGGTGCTCTCCCAGAAAGAAGTGATGTCCACAAGTAGTGGGACCTAAGGACCCAGAGAGGTAGACGCCATGGGCGAGGTTCCCATCCCGGAGTTCCTGGTGTTCCACGCTACACTTCGAATTCGATGACTTCAGCCTGAGGAGTACATTACTCATATAGTGCTTGGACACTCCCAAACCGAGTCCGTTCATGTCACCAGCCAGGTGCGTTCACATCTGAAACCCCTTCTAAGTGGCAGGAGCGATCGGACGCTACGACCGGGGCTCCTGGCCGTACTACTAGGAGCAAAAAGCTGCTAGGAACAAGAAGCCACTAGGGGCTCCCCTTAACTGGCCGAACAAAGACCCCACAAGACACGTTTCTGCCCTCCCACGGGATATAGTGGCGAAAACTGGACACGTTCTGCCGGATGGTGTTCGGAAGGTGGGAAAACGAAGCTCGCCCCGTTCGGTTCGCGTCCGATCGCTCCTAGTCCTTCTCAGAAGCTAGGCTTGGACCCTCCAAGCCTAAGTCTATATAAATAGTCTCCAATCACCTTCTCAGAAGGTATGTGGATCCATATGGAGTAGTAAGGCCAGTTTCGCCCCGTTCGTAGCTTCTCATTCGATCCGATCCGCTGCTCCAGGTCTCCAATCCCTCCCTGACCGTGAAGAAGCCGCTCGAGGCTGCTCGGAGCGCGCATCGAAATCATGGATCGACCGGGGAGCAGGGAAGGAGATGGAAGGAGCGGTCACTGAGCCTCAAAACCGCATGGAAAAGGGGATGTAAAACCATGGCCAAAACGGACGAAGGACCCATCACCCGATCGACGGAGGACCGTTTCGCACGCGCCCGGGTGTTCAGTCCTCATGTTCTTGACGATTCGAGGCATGGAGGCACGAACCCAAGCTAGTAGAAACAAGTGCCTTACTATAATGTAACAAGAAGCTATTAGTTTTTTTGATGTTATTTTGATTCTAATGGCTTTTTGTTACTACCAGTAAGGCACTTGTTACTAGTAGCGATGCACTTGTTTCTACTAGCTTCTTGTTACTTATACAAGAGTTGCCAGCTTCCGTTGGAAACCTCCTCGTGTTGTGAAAGGAGCTCCCCAATCCTGTTGTCTTCTTGACACCAAGCTGGAAGCTTGCGATGCGACCCCAGGGAAGCTCAGTGGATTGGACACCCACAAAAAAAAATACAACAACTGTTGCCAACTACAGGTCAGCTACAGGTCCAGCCTGACCGTTTTCCCACCAAAGAAGGCCGGTCACCCAGTCGAACCGGTCACGGCGGAGATGCGCGGAACCCTTTATTGTGGATCCAACGGATGGCAGATGGTGACCTGACTTGGGTCATGGATGCTTTGCAGAGGGTAAGTAGGGTATGGATGGGATGGTGGAAGGTGATTGAGAAAAGGTTCAGAACCTACAACATCCAAAGTTAGAGTTGTCATGATTTGTCCATCGGTGACCACGAACAACCGGCCTTTCTGGACTTCTTGGTGTGACCGACAGAGCAAGGAGTTGGTCGACAGAAAAACCTGCAGACTGAGAAATTCCGTCTCCCCTTCTTCTGAAGACTCCTCAGACTCTCCCTCATACACTGAGCTTCCACTGGGATCCGTTTCACCCACCGTCGATGACGAGCCTTCCGTTTCGTCCTCCCCGCCTCCCCGTAGGCCGGTGCCGCGGAGGCCGCCAAGTGTGGGGACAGCCCAGAGGGGTGAAACACTCGAAGGATGGAGATCCACCAGATCACTGTGTGAAAGTAGCCTTCTTTACTACTAATGTTAATTTGATTCTAATTTACATTCTATATATATATATATATTGTTTCTACTAGCTTCTTGTTACTACTAGTAAGGCACTTGTTACTAGAAGCGATGCACTTGTTACTAGTAGCGAACATTGTTTCTACGGCTTCGGAGAGTCTGGAGTTGTCGTTCGGTTTGGTTTTAACCTTGGCCATGGACATCATCTCAGCCGCTGTCGAAACCCGATTCATGCGGTTAGGTGGTCAGTGCTCACGTTGGCTCTGCCTTTCGCGAGTCCGGCTCGTGGTTTCGGCTCGACCTTTGGACACTTCATCTGCAAAAACCACAGGCTCAGGCCGTGTGACTTTGGAAACAAAATTGGAAAGGGGATGGTCCAAATGGAAGTACTTCATGGAATGGACTATCACATGGTGTTTTCATGGAATGTCATGTTTTGGCCATGTGATGGCTGTTTCCTTTCTTATCATATGTTTGCTTCCATGGTCCATGACTCAGACTGAAGTACTTAGACTCCACGACTCCAGGGTGGAGTATGTGTGGCGCCCGTGTCTGCTCAGAGAATGCCTGTTTGCTCGATTCTTCGAGGGTTCGATTGTTCGGAATCGACAGGCTGGGCTGTTGACTCTGGCTGTTCAGTGCAGCTACGCAAACCAACACGAAGTCGTGCAGTCAACTTGTCAATTTGTCGGACTTGTTCGTCCGTCTGGATGGATTTTTTTGGCGGGAAGAAACACCTGCCTTTGGCGTCCAGCGGGCACTTCACATGTTTCCCTGAAAGCACCGGAGCCTCTCCACGTCGCGGAAGCTGGTCAGCTCGTTCCTCGAGCTCGTCTCCCTCGGTCGGAGCCCACCGAGGCGGGCAGTCCATCCACCACGCGGCCAAGATGGGGAACATCGAAGCGATTCGCTACATCCACAGGAATCACCCACACAGCCTCCTGGCAGGAGAAGGGGGGGTTGGCTAAGGGTCTGGTGGTAGTATGGCGCCTGCTGTAGGGCGAAATAAAGTGATGCAGGTGAGTCAGGATTTGGTCTGAGGTTCTCAATTCCATGAAGGCTTGGCACAGAGAAAAGCACTCACCCCAAGGAACGTGCTGAAAACAGGGTTTCCCCCTTCTTTTCCAACTTCTTTGCTGATCAAGTCCACTTGAGGCTTCTCCTCCCGAGGCTTCACCAACGTCAGCTCCGCGCCTCACCCCTCGTCGTCTCGTCGACTTGGTCGAGATCCGAGTGGAGTTCACCGGTCGATCCAAGTGCCTTTGTTCGGGCACAAAAAAAGGACACCATGAGGCGGTGGGTGTAGGAATTATTGATTTTTGAGGTGCACCGATCGGTCTGAAAGGGGCTCATTTTGAAAGGCATGTCTTCCAGTGTCCCTTTTCTCAGCTCGACTCCTAGGCATCCATACCTATGATGAAACCGGCCAAGCACTTAGAGCTGCAACTTTTGGTGTTCTTGCTGGAAAAGTAGTCGCTGGCACGAAAAGAGGATTTCCGAGTGAATTGGAGGCCATTGCTGGGCCATTGCTACTATATAGGTTTGAGGCCATTGCTACTAGGCTGGAGGCCATTGCTATTAGTTTGGAGGCCATCGCTATTCTTCAGGAAGTTTCTCCCACCGCTTACTCTTTGGAGTCGATTTGTTGGGAGTCTAAGATGAAAAGATTAATTGGACAACCCTAAAACGATACCCAGAGAGAGACGGTTCCGTTATAACAGCCGATGTTGGTGCAGAAGCTTCTACAGGGTCCGTCGCCTTTCGTTTCGGAGGGTCCAAGGATTCTCCAGGACAGTTTTTGGGCGCGTGATCCTTCCACCACCGGTCAGAGTCTGTTTCATCCAGAGGGGTTGGTAAGAGAATGGATCAATATGGATCAGATTGAAAGGCACTTATAACCTTGAGAGATTAGGCTCGGCTTTGCTGCAAGTGAGGCCCCCTCTTCCCCAAGGTGCTTTTGTGCAGCTGACACCGATTCTGAAATATGGTTTGTTTTTGGGGTTTATGATGCGTTTGATTTTAGATGGAAGACGCGGCGTCCGTTCTGTTCCCGAGTTAAAAACAGGTGGTTGTTGAAGAGTTCTCTCCAATGAGTGGATCTTGGGTTCTTCCACCGCAGGAGCACTTTGGGCGATTGATGTGCCGTTCAGCAAAACAGAAAAAGTCATGAGGCTGTAGAAATGTCGATCGAGGTAAGGCAGCTCTAGACATGCAAAGCTTAGATGTTGGATGATGTTGGGTAGAATCGGAAACACCTAGTAACAAGTGCCACGCTAGTAGTAACAAGTGCCTTACTAGTAGTAACAATAATTAAATTAATAGCTTCTTGTTACTACTAGCGTGGCACTTGTTATTAGTAGAATTCCATCCGTTTTGTTCCGAACTCAAATCCCCACACGTTGATTGCATCCGTCAGAGAGGTCAGATGCCATTGCACCATGCCGTTTGCAAAGGCCACAAGGACGGCAGGCGAAGGCATCGCTGGAGACGAAGTCCCGACGACCGGACGAGCGACGGTGAGCATTGGGGCCAGCCTGCGCCGGCCTGGGCAGTTCGCGAGGTTCGATCTCGGAGGAGTCTCTACGAACGGGGCTCCTGGCATCGCTACTAGGAGCAAGAAGCTATTAGAAACAAGAATTAGAATTCAATATAAATAACAAAGACCAAAAAACCAAAGGGGCCTGGTCCGTGGTCTTCCACGTCACCGTGGTCTTGGGGGAAATTGGGTGCTACTCCAATGGCTCCAAGGACCCCTTCTTCGAAACCCTGCGGAAACCGTGTGAACCGTCAAAGGGATATATATATTGGACTTCTTCCGCTTCTTCGGTACCTTTTGTCCTCAACGAGGGTGAAAGAAAGGTGCCATTCGTTTTCTGTAGAACCTCCGATGAACTGAGACTGGTGGATGGGAGACAGTTCATTGACCCCATGGCATTGTCCAACCATCTCCAACCCCATACCATTCTTTGTTCGTCAGAAGCTGGAAGGAGATGGTCAAGGAGCTGTTGAAGCATGGCGCAGATATCGAGGCCACCAACCATGACGGCCGGGGAAGCCCACACCGGTCACCGGACGTGTTTTCAGTTGGATGGTTTTCAGATGGACCTGCACAAAGGAAGATGGACCCTCTGTCAAAGAGGCATGTGGACTCTGCCACGTGTGTTTCGGTGCAGAAAAAAAAGGAACGTGAGTGATTTGTAGGTGGATTACTCAGCGGAGTTGAGTCGAGCTGAGCAAGCATGGAAGCTACAGGGCTCAGGTCGGCCTCCAGCGGAGAAAAAAGGTGGGTCTTTGTTCGAGCCCATACTACTGGAGCCTGGTCCTCCATGTAGCGAACGACCTTCCAGATCGGTCAACCAAGTGATCCTGGTTTTGACCCACAGCCATTTATTGCTTGGATGAGATTTGGGGGCACTCGTCGTGATTATGTCGTGATCGACAGGCTTCCGTGCCGAGCAGCATTCGACGGCTCAAACAAATCCTCTATTTTCAACGTCCGACCTCTCAACACGATGGCAAAAGGCATGAAGTTTGCCGTGCTCGTGGCCCTTGGGGTTTGCAAGGCGGAGTCCGATGCTTGGTAGACATACCAACCAAGAAGCTAGATTTTGACGACTCTTTCTGAGAGTAGATGCCACAGCCTTTGGCGACCACATCTTTCATGCAAGACAAGAGGGAGATGAATCATCCCAACTCCACATTGCGATCGGTTCTTCAGTTTTTTTCAGATGGTGGCTTCATACTTGGCCATGCCCAGGTTCCCACATGTAGAGTCTACGTGTGGGTAGACCTAGAAGATGCCCAAATGGCTGAGCACAATTTCAGGGCTGCTCAGGACGTGAGCAAGGCATTCGAAGACTTCATCGCGAAGTTCGAGAAGCTCCTTGGCCAGAGAGGCCACGGCTGAGGGATGCACCAAATGACCCTTCACGCAGCAGCCATTGAACATCGTTGAACCATCCTTCGAAGCACTGGTCCTTTTTCCTTTTTCTGAGCCAGCATTGTTTGTTCTTTGAGCGACTTCGGGGGTACTTACTGGGTTATTTTGGTGGCTGTGTTCAGTTGAGGCATATGATGGCATATTTGGGTCGTGGTGTCAAGAATGGTTGTTTTCAACCTTTACTTGGGATTCCTGGGATGATTGAACCCACTTGGCTGTGCTTCAAGCGAGTTGAAACCACCAACCAAATATGATATGAGTTTTGTATGTTCAGTTGTGGTTCTTCACCAGTTTCAACGTACTATGACAGGCCGGTCCAGGATGGACGACAACCCAGAAAGTGAGGGACTAGTTGGACACCCTCAGACCACCAGTAAAGTTAGCGCTCACTTGGACATGCGTTTGTCTCAGCATCTTGTTTGATGGTCCAGTCCTATCTGACACTCGCCCTTGCAGAGAATCCTCGCTAGGTTGAACCCAACCAGGATCCACAACACTGGGATCCGCTTAGAGTTGCCATTTGCAGGAATTCATGAACCACTTTTCAGCACAGATGGCTGTGCTGATTTCGCTCGCTCGCTTCGCCATTCGGTTCCCAGCGAACCTCGTTCGACTCGGGAGCGTCGCGGTGCGGTGCCGTTCGGTGACGCTTTCAGCTCCTTCGGCTCCTTCGGCCGAGGAGCTACGCCACGAAGGAGGAGCGCCAGAAGCGTTTCGAGTAAGGCACTACTAGCGTCCTTGTTACTACTAGTAAGGCACCTGTTACTACTAGCGTGGCACTTGTTTCTAGTAGCGAACATTGTTAGGAGCGCCAGAAGCGTTTCGAGATCTTCACCGAGAACATGGGACACATCGAGAAGCACAACGCAGCGGGGCACAGCTGCTCGGTTAGCGGGAAGGATCACACCGGCACAGAGGAGGAGTCCTGGAGTTGGAACGAAGAATCTGGGTGGGTTTCCAGGTTTCGAAGGGAGAGGGCACTCATTGCCCTCGTGACTCGGGATATGTTTGGTCCAGATGGTGATCCTCAAGCTGTGGCCACAAGAGAGTGCATTCTGGATCCCCGGTTTTTTTGAGCGATACGTTGTGTCAGATGTGTGTCAGAATAATGAGTACGAGCCTCAAGAACCATCTTGTCAGGCCAGGCACGCCTGTCACACAAACAGGTCTTGACCTGGGTTGGGAAAAGCATGCAACCTCACATTTCAATTGGAAAGACAGCCCGCAGCCAATGTGCTCACTGATTGTCTTCCAGAGAAAGTGCAACAGCGTGACTAGATAAATGCCTTGAATGTTTCACTTTGTTCCTCAGACACCTTAAGTAAGGGCAGGCCTTCAGAAAGAGTATTTCATCGGGAGTGAAGCTTCCCAAAAAATCTAGAAACCAAATCATTGGTGCGAGCGCTTAGTCAAGGAAGCTTCGCCCTCAGGCGGGGATTTAGAAAATATAGGATGTCTTTCAGTTCCATTTCCATGAGGCCCTTCCTGTGTTTCTCCTTTGCATCCAGCTTCTGAGATTAGTTCCCTGTAGCCCGTCACCGTATTAAGGTCCGGTTTTCTGGGTAACCCAAAAAGCATCCAAAACGCCCAAACCTTAGAGGTCCTTTTGAAAGCACACAGGTCCTTTTGACTCTTCAACCATTTCTTACAGGTCCTTTTGAAAGACACCCATCAGACACCGGGTAGGACAACACCCGCTGTTCCGTCTGCCGGTTCCGTCAGACTACCAGTTGGGAGTCACTGCCTTCGCAGACCTGACGCCTTGACGAAGAGGGAGGGGGGAGTGGGAGCTGCAAGGGAAGGTGAGGTGTTTTGTGAGGTTCTACGACTTCCAATCTTGTGTTTTCTTAAAGGTGTCATTGTTGTCCAAAGTGTCATTTTGTTTTGTGGGGTGTTTTTTAAGGTGTACGTTTTGACAAGAACACCTGATTGAAGGGGTTCACGTACTTCCGTCTTAAGGAGGGTACTGCCTGGACTGCATGGTAAGGCACAGCAGGCAGTAGGCTTTGTAGATGAAGTCCGAAACCATCTATGAGGATATGGAAAGAAGAGGAGGAACTCCCTCGTGAGGGATCAGAATGAAGACTTTTCCCAGATTTGCACAAGCATATCAGACCATAGGTCTGGCTTCACATGAAAACGACCACTAGATGAAGCTGCAAGACAGTACATGGCACATGGCAGTGACGGGAGGATGAAACAATATGGGAAATGTGTGTGGAAGTCTCACTCTCACTCTCACTTTCGTAACACGAACTTCGTGTCGCTTCGCAAGGAAGCCTGATGAGTTTGCCTTCGACCATGTGGGGTGCATGATCAAGTCTGAGAAGCCTTGGTCGGGCTTGCCCTACTTGGGACGCGAGGAGTACAATTCGAACACCACCGCCTTGCCCAAGTCCTTGGATTGGACGAAGAGACTTGGAGAGAACAAGGGAGACGAGTTGTGAAAATTGAGCCGGAACGAGCCTAAAGTCAGCCATCCTCGTTTAGTGCATGTGTTTTCTTTATGGAGTGCATTTCGGGTTTTCTTGGTAGAAGCTCTGGAAAACCTGTGATCAAAGCAGGAAATTGAGTGAAACAAAATTGTGTAAGTGCATTTACTGGTTTCCACTTGTTGACGCTGTGTTCTGGGACACCTTTCACAGTGAGACAGGTAACCGAACAACGGCTGATGATGAGTGTTCTTTCGTTGTTGGAACATGCCATGTGAACCTGACGACTGAACCGGACAGAAACGGCACCACTGAACCGGACAGAAATGGCACTGGGCAACTCACTGCCGCTGCCCAACGCTTCCGCGGGAGCTTTGAGGGCGTGACATCTGCAGCTTGCAGTCGACCACGTGCAATCCAAGTCGCATCCACCAGCCTCTGCAGCTGAGCGAGGAGCGTCGGAACAGGGCGATCCGTCCACGTCCTGGAAGGCGTGTGGATCGCATGGAGCTGCAGGTGGACTCCGCCCGGTCTGGCCGGCCGAGGCCGTTTGACATCTGCTTGGCTCGCATCGCATGAGGCCATCCACTGTTGTCATCTTTTGTGAGATGAGCTTTGCTTTTTTGCCTATGTTGTGACTGTGTCCGAGGGTGTTACTGGGCAGGTCGCCCTAGTAGGTCGGGTTTCTTTGTTGGTCTAGGGTTCACCTCAGTTCTGCAACCACTCAGGGGGTCAGGGTTTATGGTGGCTTCAGATCGATGTTGCTCCTGGGTGTCTGTCTCAGGAGCTTCGGTTAGGGTTTGCTGCTTGCACGTTGAAGAACGTGTCAACTCATACATTCCACATGACGCAGTAGCTCTACGCAACGTTCCAAGTGTGTCCTAATCTGTCTTCCAAGCCGCTGCGTGTTGCAAAAGCAGGGACCCCCTCTATTTTGGGTGTCCTCGCACGCGTCGGGACCTCTTCTCGCCGCGTCGGGACGGTCTTCGTCGGTGTCAGGAAAGGTGCCGTGACCGACCCGAAGAATCAGGGCAAATGTGGATCGTGTTGGAGCTTTTCCACGAGCGGTGCATTGGAGGGCGTGCCTTGAAGGGTGACCGGTGTCCTTTTCGCGGAGAAAACCAACGAAGAGCGAAGACGACCCTAGACGACCCTTTGAACCCCCTGGTTTAGAGGGTGTTCCTCTACTAACGGTCCATGTTAGTCTTCCAGGGTATAGGTTTCATGATGTTTCATGATATTATGTGACCTGACAGGATTTTTCACTCTCGGGTCACATGCCATGCTTCCTTAGTCACATGATTTTTGTTACAAGCCTGGCTCACTGAACAGGCACATCTGTTGTTCATTGGTGAAGAATTGCACACTCAAAGCCGCAAAAATACCACTGAGTTGAGGTGCTATAGTTCAAGCACCCTTTACAATTCGGACCGCAAGGACCAAGCCAGATGAATCTGCTGTACGTACTCCAATTGAGGCATGGAAGATCGCGACCGGCAAATTGATCTCCTTGAGTGAGCAGCAGCTCGTGGATTGCGCTAAGAATGGACCGCCGGCAGAGAGATCGGGTGTTGGGGGTTTCCGAAAAGCGGCGCCGTGTTGGATCGTTGCCCTGGTCTTTGGTGTCGTGTGTTTTGTTGCATATGATGCATGTCTTTCAGATCGGTCAGATGGGTTGGGTTCTGAAGCCAATGCAGCTCGGAGTTTTTGGGAAGTGCACCGGTAGACCTGAGAGGATGCAGTACTTGTAGTAGAGGATCTCCAGCGCATGGCTTTTCCCCGAAATCCACCGACCTTGCGACGGATCCCCGGTCCTGTGCCCGTCTCAGTGCCCGTCTCCGGACAGGAAATATGGGCTGCCAGGGCGGTTCCATGGACTTGGCCTTTTCCTACCTCGAGAAGCACAACGTTTGCACAGAGGAACGGGAGTGGCGGGGGGAAGGGCGGAATCGGCGTGGAAGAGCTGAAGAGCTGTGAAGGGGAGTTGCTACGAGGCCGCACGGCTGCTCTTAGCATTCTCACGGAATGGGGGTTCCGGGGGGAGGCTTCGAAAGAGCCCTTGTGCATGGTCGAAAGGCACGAGAGAGCACCAGGGAAAGGGAACTCTTGGCGACCCACGGGCAAAAAAGTAGGAGTCATTTTGAAGTTATTTGTGGACCCTTTTTTTGGGATGCTGGCTGGCGCTCTCAAGATCCTGGGGCTGCTACCTTCTTGTACTGGCCAACCTCTGTGTCCTTTCGGCCCTCTTCTACCGGGGAAAAGTCAACCGACCATTGTAGACCACGTCGTCGCTCCGTCGCTCGAGGACAGCTATCCCTACTTGGCCAAGCAAGGCACCTGCCACCAGACGAAATGCACCGCAGCTCGGCGAGAAGAATCCAAAGAAGCTACCGGCAAAGTGCACTTGTTCCTAGTAGCTTCTTGTTACTACTAGTAAGGCACTTGTTACTAGAAGCGATGCACTTGTTCCTAGTAGCTTCTTTGTTGGGCACCAAGTGCACCGGGGGAAAGAGGTGAAGCCTCGGCTGGTTCTTCGGCCGGTCAAAGTGTCGAAGGAAAGCGATCAGTGGGGGGGGCGCACTGAGTGAAGGAGTCATGGTTTCAATGCGATCCTTGAGATTGAAGGAAGGAAGCTAGAGCAGCTAGTGGCTGTGTGAGTGCGGATTTACTAGGATTGGGCAAATTTTGGCCAGTGATCGCTGATGAGTTATCATGTGTTCTAGTTGAGAGAAGGCTCACGCAGCAGTCTTAGCCTCGACTACTGTATGCCTTGCCTCTAACCAGGACACAATGTGGATTTGAAAGGGTGTTGAGAGATCAGGGTGTTTTGAAAGGGTGTTAACGTGTCTCGACAGAATGGACCTTACACCACCAGCGAACGCAAGCGCGGTGTTTTTGAGCCGAAGAGCGGGCGCGGTCGCTCGTGACCGGAACGGACCGTTGGACTCGACACGAATCGGTGGACGACCACAGGTCGGAGTGCCCAAGGGCTCCATCGTGGGTTTCAAGGACGTCTCTTCCAAGGACATGAATGCTTTGCGGCTTGGCTTGAAGATGGAAGCTGGAAGAAGCCATGGAAGCAGGGATAGATGGAAGCCATGGGATGCTTAATTTTACCAGTTTCGACGTTAGAAGTTGTTGAACTTCAGCAGACTCTATAGTGGATGGTGTGGGCTTGACAAATCAAAGGGAGATCGCGTGTTTTGCCGCATCGCGAAGAGAATGAAGAGGATGTCCGAGTGGACCCCTAGATCATCTCAGAGATCCGAAAGTTTTAACATGGCAGGAAATGTTTGTTCACCACTCACGAGGATTTTCACCACTCAAAGTTCAAAGCATTGAAAAAAATGACAGTGGCATCGCTACGAACGGAGCAAGGACGGTTACTAGGGGCTCCTGGCCATACTAGTAGGAGCAAGAAGCTACTAGGAGCAAAGGGCATCGCTACGAACGGAGCAAGCACACTTGGCAGCAAGTGATTCATTCGCGACTCGCCGAACGAGGATGCAGGCCGTGTCCAAGCAGCCCGTCTCCGTCACTGGGCGGAAAGGCTTTTCCGTCGGTCCGAGAGAGGGTGAAGCGGTCGAAGCCGTCGAAGGATGAGGTCGCTTTCAGGATTTGGACCCTGATGTTGGGTGCCAGGCTCCATCCACACCACTCCCGACAATATGCCTTCATTCATCTTCATTCCCACTCCTAACTGTTTGGTTCATGAGCCTCGCCTTCCCACTCTTTTTTCAGGGCCGGAGCGCATTTGGGCTCTTTGGGAAGCGCACGAACGAGGGCTCCGTGTTGCCCAGGTGGCCATTGAGGCGGATCAGATGGCCTTCCAGCTCTACAAGGGTGGCATTCTCTCGAAGAAATGCGGCGCCTCGACCGTTTGACGGGTTGAGACTGACTGGATGCGGACGGTGAGAGCTTTCCGGAGGATTTGGATCGAGACTGGAAATCAACCTGTTTGGAAATAGACATATTTTTGGAGATCAATGTGTCAATCTAAGAAGAAGCTACCAGTAACAAGTGCATCGCTTCTAGTAACAAGTGCCTTACTAGTAGTAACAAGAAGCTACTAGGTTGGAAGACACCAAGAAAAGGATCGTGCCGTGCCGATCTTGAAACAGACCGTTCCTTCTTCGTCCTTGTCGTCGTCCAACAGTGAAAGCCTGAACCCTCAGAGGATCGGCCGTTCCAACGGCTGGGAGCCCATCGAGTCGATGTGGAGAGTAGAGTTAAGTAAGAAGGGACGGGAAAAGGAATGAGATGGAAAAGAGGCATCAAAGAGGAATGATGAGGAGAGTAGAGAAGAGAGAAAGTGAAAAGCGCATGAGTCCAATGAAACCAAGAAAATGGTGCGGCGCGGGTCAAAAATGGTGCAGCTGGATGCCCCAGGGTGCTGGAAGACCTGGTCCCTCTGAGGCAACAAGCTGGATCATGGGGTGCTCTTGGTTGGCTACGGCACTGAGAACGGGGTGGACTACTGGAAGGTGAGATGGTCCAAATCTGGTGGAGTCGAAGCAGACCTTGGTGTGTTCTTTAGTGGTTTTGATACCTATCAATTTACCTTCAAAAAGAAGTAAAATTCTGCGACAGGTCAAGAACAGCTGGGGTGCCAGCTGGGGCGAGAACGGCTACGGGTGACGGCGAGTGTGGCATCAAGGACCAGCCCTCCTACCCCTTGGTGAAGGCCAAGACGGAGACGGAGCTCGTTGTTTGAGCGGAACTCACTCGATCTCACATGGGCTGCGGAGGTCTCATTTGGGGATGCCCGGCCCAAGAAGTTACACAGTTACAGTAGCTGGTGCTTTCGGTTCAGCGGAGATGGCACAATGGCCCTTCGCTTCAAGAACAGTAGCCAGGCACAATTTTTTTGGGCAGCAGCTTCTCAACAAACTTTTGATGAACGGAAAGCACCCGTCACAGGACTTGACTTTGAAAGCCTTTGAACTGTGAGAAAAGGTCGTGTGCAGGCAATTTGGTACAATTGCTGAATCGGCTTGAGTTGAGATCACCCACTTTTTGATAGTTTGTGAGACGTGGCATGTTTTGCTGCTGAGGTGATACTCCTTTGCATCACGCAGTCTCTGAGGGCAACGCTGAGGTGGAAAGAGCTGGGTAGTCGAAACGTCTCGTTTTGTTCGAAGGTACATCAGTGCCACTTGTAAACCTAGCAGGTCACTGTTTAGTCCAAAGAACCATTTGAGTTCGATACTTGTTTGCAGCAGTCCCTTCATCTTAGCTCATTTGCCAAGTGGCATTGAAGTGCTTATTCATGCCTGATATGAGAGTGACCCTTTCCTGAGCCAGTCCCCTAGATGAGCCACCAGGAAGAGGAAGACCTGTGGTGAGGGCACAGACCTACAATCATCTCACTTTGGAAGTCGTGTAAATCAAGAGGTTGACCACTGTGGAAGAAGCCAAGAAGCTAAGGACATCCATGCTCCACGTTCCAAACCTCAACCCTCTGCCTGGAACCGGCTCCGAAACCTGCTCGACAGGTGGTGCGTTTGCTGCTCGACAACGGAGCAGATCTCCATGCCCGAGAGAAGTTTGTGGGTCTGGGAGCCTCAAAGCATCCGTCGACGATTCCGGTCGAAGCGAAGTTGCCGACGAATCAGATGTTTTTCGATCAAGAGTCTCAAGGGTTCTTGCAGTTGCACGCATTCGTGAAACATTGTGAAACTGGCGTCCCAGTTTCAGTGACAAATGATCGACTTGCCCTCGAAAAAAGGCAACATAGGCAACTGCACACAAAGCTGACACAGGCCTTTTTTAAAGACAGACTTTTGGATCTGGGGCGCCCTGCTCTTGGCCTGCGGTTGACCCACCGAACAGACGTGAAAGTGCAAGTTCTCACGAGATGTTATCAGATGAAAGCATGGGGGAGCATCCACAACTCCACCACAAATGATCATACCAGGACCAATCAACAGGTCTCCGAAATGGTGGCTGGAATTGAGACTGAAAAGATCGCAGGTGGTGACCTGTTGGAGAAACAGGTGCTATTTGAATGTGAAACTTGACCGGTTCAACCTCGCAGTTCACCACGTGTGAAACGAAACACAAAACCGTTCATGGCACAGGTCTGGATGCTCCTAGTAGCGTCCTTGTTCCGTTCGTAGTACGGCCAGGAGCCCCGTTCGAGTCGCGTCCGATCGCGAACCGTTCGTAGCGATGCCCTTTGTGACGTTCGTAGCGACAGGTGACAGGTCTCTTCGTGACAGGTCCCGGAACATCGGCGTTACCCTCCCTCCAACAAGCGACACCTGTTACTACTAGTAAGGCACTTGTTTCTACTAGCTTCTTGTTACTACTAGTAAGGCACCTGTTACTA